CTGCTGCTTGCTGTTGCTGCTCCTGCTGCTGCTGTTGCTGCTGCTGCTGCTCCTGCTCCTGCTGCTGTTGCTGCTCCTGCTGCTGCTGCTCCTGCTTCTGCTGCTGCTGCTTCTGCTCTTGCTGCTGTTGCTGCTCCTGCTGCTGCTGCTGCTCCTGCTCCTGCTGCTGCTGCTCCTGCTGCTGCTGCTCCTGCTGCTGCTGCTGCTTCTGCTGCTCCTGCTGCTGCTACTCCTGCTGCTACTGCTGCTGCTGCTCCTGCTGCTGCTCCTGCTGCTGCTCCTGCTGCTGCTGCTGCTCCTGCTGCTGCTCCTGCTGCTGCTGCTCCTGCTGCTGCTCCTGCTGCTGTTGCTGCTGCTGCTCCTGCTGCTGCTGCTGCTGACGCCAACACACCACGGCAGCACCCCTGCAAGACGTAGCCCTGGTCAGAGTTCATTCACAGTCGCGCTAACCATTGCGCCACCGCTCCTCCTTCCCCCCTCCCTCCCTCCTACTCCTCTACCTGTGTGCATGCATAGCCGGAGTTGAACTCTGCAGGAATGGCTATGGTACGCATCACTGCTCAGCCACACGAGGTGAGTTACAAATAGCAGAGAGAGAGAGGGGGAGGGAGGGGGGGAGTGCTGAGTGACATGAGCTGACTCCATATCAGTGCATTCCTTGTCACAGTCCCCCGTGTACGATGGCTAGGAGATGTTAACTACCTCGCCCGGTGTGCAGGAAGTCGTGGGTTCGATCCCGACCCTGGCGCTTGCTGTACAGTTGGAGTTTGCGTCTCTCTCTCTCATCATCATCATCACAGTGGCTAAGAGATGTTAACTACCTCGCCCGGTGTACAGGTAGTCGTGGGTTCGATCCCGACCCTGGCGCTTGCTGTACAGTTGGAGTTTGCGTGTCTCTCTCTCTCTCAGCATCATCACGGTAGCTAGGAGATGTTGACTACCTCGCCTGGTATACAGGAAGCCGTGGGTTCGAACCCGACCCTGACGCCTGCTGCTGTATATTTGGAGTTTGCGTGTCTCTCTCTCTCTCATCATCATCACGGTGGCTAGGAAATGATAACTACCTCGCCTGGTGTGCAGGAAGTCATGGGTTCGATTCCGACCCTGGCGTTTGCTGTACAGTTGGAGTTTGCGTGTCTCTCTCTCTCATCATCATCACGGTGGCTAGGAGATGTTAACTACCTCGCCCGGGTAAAGTCAATGAAAATGGGGTATGCCAATAGCATAAAATGAGATGTGATAGAGCAAATCTGAGATCAGATCTGCACCCTGAAATTAGTCTAAAACAGCTGCAAAAGTCCAGGCCAGAATTTTTTTTGTTTTTTTTGTTGTCCAGTGTTTTTTTTATAGAAGCCACCGGCACACAAATGACAGCTCAACGAAAGTGGTTTATCATCACGTGGACATTTATAGCAGCCAAACAGTCTAAGCGCGTGTTTCTAAATGTTTCCATCCCCATCTGTAACCGGGAATCGAGCGTTTCTCCCTTCTCTCGCGCGCGCAAGGCGTGGGGTTTTTTTTTCTTTCTCCGGGTGCTCAGTTTCCTCCCCACGTAAACAATAATAATAAACACAACTCATCATGCATCGCCTGAAACCGTCTTACAAATCAACACTTCGATGTAGCGGCAGGACCGCTCCTGGAAACGACTCCGACGATTCGTTGCGACTGTCCTCAATAAAAACGTTCAACAAAAACCCCCCACACACACTGCGTCTGTGTATCCGTGTGAATATGTAGTGGGGAGGGGTGGGCGTGGTGGTTAGCGCTACGCTGCGCTACGTAAACCCCCGCGACTCGGGTTCGATTCCCGCTCACGGCCAACACCGGTGACGATTATCTGAATCGGTCCTGGGCCTCCCCTAGGTCGACTCAGCCTCAAATGAGTACCTGGTGCGATGTGTAAAGATCGATAGAGGGACCCGTAGACTCGCAGCGCACGCTTGCAAATGAGACGATCAAGGTCTATTTAGTTCTCACCTGGTTCAACAAAATCAACTTGAACACACCCGTGGACTCACACAGAGACCCGCACAGAGACCCACAGACTCACACAGAGACCCACGGACTCACGCAGAGACCCACGAACTCACGCAGAGACTTAGACTCGCACAGAGACCCATCGATTCACGCAAAGACCCACGGACTCACGCAGAGACGCACGGACTCACGCAGAGACCCACAGACTCACACAGAGACTCACAGACTCACACAGAGACCCACGGACTCACGCAGAGACGCACGGACTCACGCAGAGACCCACAGACTCACACAGAGACTCACAGACTCACACAGAGACCCACGGACTCACGCAGAGACGCACGGACTCACGCAGAGACCCACAGAATCACACAGAGACTCACAGACTCACACAGAGACCCACGGACTCACGCAGAGACGCACGGACTCACGCAGAGACCCACAGACTCACACAGAGACTCACAGACTCACACAGAGACCCACAGACTCACACAGAGACTCACAGACTCACGCAGAGACCCACAGACTCACACAGAGACCCACAGACTCGCGCAGAGACTCACGGACTCACACAGAGACCCACAGATTTACACAGAGACCCATAGACTCACACAGAGACCCACAGATTCACACAGAGACCCATAGACTCACACAGAGACCCACAGATTCACACAGAGACCCATAGACTCGCACAGAGACCCACAGACTCACACAGAGACCCACAGACTCACACAGAGACCCATAGACTCACACAGAGACCCACAGATTCACACAGAGACCCATAGACTCACACAGAGACCCACAGATTCACACAGAGACCCACAGACTCACACAGAGACCCACAGACTCGCACAGAGACCCACGGACTCACACAGAGACCCACAGACTCACACAGAGACTCACGGACTCACACAGAGACCCACAGACTCGCACAGAGACCCATCGACTCATGCAGAGACCCACGGACTCACGCAGATACCCGCGGACTCACGCAGAGACCCACGGACTCACGCAGAGACCCACGGACTCACACAGACACACACAGAGACCCATAGACTCACACAGAGACCCACAGACTCACACAAAGACCCATAGACTCACACAGATGCCCATAGACTCACACAGAGACCCACATACTCACGCAACGACCCACAGACTCACACAGAGACTCACAGACTCACACAGAGACCCACAGACTCACACAGAGACTCACAGACTCACGCAGAGACCCACAGACTCACACAGAGACCCACAGACTCGCGCAGAGACTCACGGACTCACACAGAGACCCACGGACTCACGCAGAGACCCACGGACTCACACAGACACACACAGAGACCCATAGACTCACACAGAGACCCACAGACTCACACAAAGACCCATAGACTCACACAGATGCCCATAGACTCACGCAGAGACGCACGGACTCACGCAGAGACCCACAGACTCACACAGAGACTCACAGACTCACACAGAGACCCACAGACTCACACAGAGACTCACAGACTCACGCAGAGACCCACAGACTCACACAGAGACCCACAGACTCGCGCAGAGACTCACGGACTCACACAGAGACCCACGGACTCACACAGAGACCCACAGACTCGCACAGAGACCCATCGACTCATGCAGAGACCCATAGACTCACACAGATACCCGCGGACTCACGCAGAGACCCACGGACTCACGCAGAGACCCACGGACTCACACAGACACACACAGAGACCCATAGACTCACACAGAGACCCACAGACTCACACAAAGACCCATAGACTCACACAGATGCCCATAGACTCACACAGAGACCCACATACTCACGCAAAGACCACGGACTCACGCAAAGACCACGGACTCACGCAAAGACCCACGGACTCACACAGAGACCCACAGACTCGTACAGAGACCCACGGACTATCGCGGAGCCCGAAGCGACTCTTTACGTTGGTTTCGACCTTCCAGTGTCTCATCGGCAGTGTCACCCTCAACGCGAGCGGCGTGCCCAATGTTTACGGGCAAGAACCCCCCTCCACTCCCCCCCCCCCCCTTAGATATGGACCCCGAGTCGCCCCCGTGACGTCTCCGCGGGGATTGTTTGTTGCCATTCGGGTTTATTTTGTCCTAGAGGCGCCGGGGTGTCCACGTGGGGTGGCGACGGCGGCACGGCCGCTCCTGACGCCAGGGGGGGAGGGGGGGGTGGGACACTGGGAGGGGGTGATGGGGGTGGAGGCAAGGTGGGAGGGGGATAGGGAGCGAGACGAGGACGAGGAGGAGGTGGGGAGGAATTGGGGGGGTCCAGGAAGGGAGGCTGGACAGCGCCGCGCGTGTGGGAGTCAGGGATGAAAGTGGGGGGGGGGGGGGGGGGGGGAGCGGTGGTGCAGCGGTTAGCGCGACGCTGCGCTACGAACCCGGCGACGCGGAGTCTCGAACAACCTCTCACGGCCACCCACACCGATTATTTGAACCGGTTTCGGGGCTTCCGCTAGGTCGGCTCGGCCTTAAATGAGTAGCCTGGCGAGGTGCTCGGGAGACACAAAGGCGGCCGGGCGTGGTGCTGACCACCCACCCCCTCGTGTGCCGTTCCGGCCTTCATAGGTGCTCGCTAACAGCACTTGCCCCAACAATCTGTTGAGGCTATACGGGGGCGGCGGCGGCTGGGGGAACTTTTGATTGAAGGGGTTGAGAGAGGGAGGGAGGGAGGTCGACTGGGAGACTGGGAGGGTGGGACTAGGGGAGGGGGAGTAGGAGGGAGGGAGTCATAGGGAGGGCTCGGGATATAATATCTGTGCTCGCGACCTGGGCAGGCGCGCTGGGCTGTGAACTGTGCAGGAGTCGGAAGAGAGTCAGGGAGGGAGAGAGGCAGGGAGGGAGAGAGGCAGGGAGAAGGGAGAGAGGCAGGGAGGGAGAGAGAGGCAGGGAGAGAAGAGAGGCAGGGAGGGAGAGAGGCAGGGAGGGAGAGGCAGGGAGGATCGCAGGGAGGGAGAGGCAGGGAGGATCGCAGGGAGGGAGAGGCAGGGAGGATCGCAGGGAGGGAGAGGCAGGGAGGATCGCAGGGAGGGAGAGGCAGGGAGGATCACAGGGAGAGGCAGGCAGGGAGGAGGTGGTGAAGAGAGAGAGAGAGTTTGAGCGCGGCGGGGAGGTTCAAGGGAGGTTCGAGTGAGAAAAGAGGGCGATCAAGAGAGAGAGAGGGGAGAGAGAGCGGGGTAGGTTGCTGGGGGTGGTGAAGCAATAGGGAAAGGCGAGCGGAAAGCGAGAGGAACGAAAGAGAAAGAGAGGAAACTCCGTTTCTGCTTCTCTCGGTTTAATAAGAGAACTCCGTGTCGGTGTTTGGTAGCAAAACAACAACAACAACAACATCCAAACAACCAACCACCACCACCACCACCACTACCTCCCCGTTTCTCAATTCCACGTTTCCTCCTGGAGCCGTCGTGCGAGAGAGGTCAGTTCGGGTCTCGTTGAGTCGCGTTTGAATGATTCTATTCGGGACGGAGCGAAGCGGTGATGTTGTTGATGTAGCCATGTGTCGTGCTTGATGTTGTTGATGTAGCCATGTGTCGTGCTTGATGTTGTTGATGTAGCGATGTGTCGTGGTTGATGTTGTTGATGTAGCGATGTGATGTGGTTGATGTTGTTCATGTAGCGATGTGTCGTGGTTGAAGTTGTTGATGTAGCGATGTGACTTGGTCATGCAGCTGAGAGCTTCCCCCCTCTGTCGTCCATTCATTGATCGCACGGGAAAGAGTTGCCGAACGAATTGCGGAACGAATGAAGCCGATGTCGTGCCCGTGTCGTTCTTACGAATGCGCGCTGATGTTTTCGGCGCCGCGGTGGCTAGGAGATGTTCACTACTGAGAGAGAGAGAGACACGCAAACTCCAAATATACAGCAGCAGGCGTCAGGGTCGGAGTCGAACCCACGACCTCCTGCACACCAGGCGAGGTAGTTAACATCTAGCCATCGTGATGATGATGAGAGAAAGAGAGACACGCAAACCCCAAATATACAGCAGCAGGCATCAGGGTCGGGATCGAGCCCACGACCTCCTGTATACCATCATCATCACGGTGGCTAGGAGATGTTAACTACCTCGCCTGGTGTGTAGGAGGTCGTGGGTTCGATCCCAACCCTGACGCCTGCTGCTGTATATTTGGAGTTTGCGTGTCTCTCTCTCTCCCCGTGGTCGCGTGGATTTTTCTCCGGGTTCCTCTGTTTCCCCCCGCCCTATCCCCTCAACATTTAGAATCAACATCCACGCGTTCTGAGTAATTGGCTGCTGTTGTAAGTTTCCGCGTGACCATGATGATGATGATGAGGCAGCCGCCACTTCCGTTGAGCTGAGCATTTGTGATCGCCGGCTTCGCTTCTGACAAAAAAGAGCTATTGTAGCAGCTCAGCCTTACCTGGCACAATAAAAAATTTACCCGTAAAAACTAAGTTTTTCACTATAAATCCTTTATATGCGTGGCGGCTAGAGTCTTCTCGTCCTCTGGCTTGAGATGGCTGCCACCTATGGGTCAGATGATTGCCTGCCATCATTAAGCAATTGGTAATTAAATATAATTATTTTTTTCCTAAAAAGTGTCACATTTTGGAAAAAGCATTTTCACGAAAATAAATTGTCACGCACAACGAGTCTGTGTGCAAAATGTCAGCTCGATTGGATCACGGGAAGTGGGTTAAAAAACGACCGAAAGATTTGCACGGTCGTAAGCGCGCATGCAAGCAAGCAAGTGAACTTAATATAAAGGATTTAAAAAACACTTAGTTTAGTTTCATCGTAGAGTTATGTTTGGGTGAGTTATTGACGTTCGGCGTTGAGGTTTCTAAGCACGGCTCACATCGGGATGTTATTTTGGCGTCCTCTGGTTTAACACCGTTTGAAATTTGACTCGAAAGAAAGCTGACTGGTGTGGACCAATCAGTTTCAAAGACAATGCATCATCATATACTATCAGAGTATATTTTTTGTTTACATTCTGACCACATGTATTGTGGTTAACGCAGACATGATTCCTCGTTAAATGTTTCAGTTTGGTGTCTTAACATCTTAACACAGGTTAAATTTCGATTTAAAGCTTTCGTGACTGCAGGGATTCATCTTCTTGGTTCTTTCGGTAAAGTCACGTAGAAGGAAAATAAAAAAATAAAACATAATAAAATAATTCTCACGACGTTTCGGCCACAACGCAAGCAGCCGTCTTCAGGTGGAGAACAGGTCTCGACAGACCTGGCCGAAACGTCGTGAGAATTATTTTATTATGTTTTATTTTTTATTATTTTCCTTCTACGTGACTTTACCGAAAGAACCAAGAAGATCTTAACACAGCTGTTTTGTTGCCAGAAAAAAAGGGGAAAACCGATTCTCATATTGCCTTAATTGTTTCGCTGGCAGGGCAGACTCGGCCCATTGTATCCCTTCTCGCGAAACACTCAGCCCCCCACCCTGCCCGCTCCACCCGCACGCCGCCCAAAGTCACCCACGAGTGAACCGAGTGAGTCCACCTCGCCTCCTCCCCGCGAAGCCTCGTTCGCGATGAGCGCACGTGTGCCCCGGTGGGGGAGCGGTGGGTTTAGCGCGCGCTGAGTCTGTAATGCGCTGGGTCTAACTGGGTCTATAACGCGCTGGGTCTAGCTGGGTCTACAACGCGCTGGGTCTAGCTGGGTCTAACTGGTCTATAACGCGCTGGGTCTAGCTGGTCTATAACGCGCTGGGTCTATAACGCGCTGGGTCTAGCTGGGTCTATAACGCGCTGGGTCTATAACGCGCTGGGTCTAGCTGGGTCTACAGCGCGCTGGGTCTAGCTGGGTCTATAACGCGCTGGGTCTAGCTGGTCTATAATGCGCTGGGTCTAGCTGGGTCTATAACGCGCTGGGTCTATAACGCGCTGGGTCTAGCTGGGTCTATAACGCACTGGGTCTAGCTGGGTCTACAACGCGCT